TGCTAGGATTACAATCTTAATCCCCGAGGGGACAAGAATATAAGAGTAATGGGTAAACCGCAATGAAAAATGGCTCAGCAAACCCCAATATCGAGTAATGCGATGCAGGCATGAAGCCAAAACTTAAATAGGCCATTAAAACATAATAATCTGGTTCAAAAATAAGTTCAACTACATGTGACAATCACTTTTTAGGATTTGCCTCGTCCTACCATTTACAAAAAAGAATCCTTGTCCATAGGATAATAAATTATCTTAAACATGTTGGGTCTAATGCATTAAATGGAGGGTTAAGTAGGCTAGGAGCACCATAGATCAGAAGTAACTGAGACTCCGCTACATCCTAACACATTAAAAAGGCTGCAATTGATACATTGATTAGCCATCCAGTTTTCCTTGAATTTAAATTGAAAATGAGTGACAGACTATTTCGGCCTATATAGCGAAAAGTGTGAAATAGTAGATGGTGTAAGACGCAACGCAACTCACGATATCAGGCAGATGAGCCGTTCATATAACCCACTCCGAATTGAATAGTACAAACACATTTTATGGATTATAAAATGTATGTATATTGCTCTTAAAAGATGTTGTTATTTGTTTGTTTATGTTGTCTTATAGGCGCGATTCTTCTTTGATACGCTCTTGGGCATGATTTGCTTTATCCTTTGTTCTCTATTTCCTTCGTCGTTTCTCCCTGCTTTTTTACTCAGATATCTTTATTCACAATGATTTTATATTTTATGATTTAGTGGTTGTTCATATACTTGGGGTTCTGAGTATATTTCTGGATGTTTTTCTTGTAATCTACTTATTCCTACGATGGGTAATTGGTGTTGCCGATGTCTATCAAGAAGGCGAAACTCTTCCCCAAACTGGAAGCCTGGTGGTGTAAACTCTCTTTCCTCCAATCACCGTGATGGTTCAACCCAATGCTCTGCTTCCATGCTTCAGGTTACTTATCTCAATGACCAAGTGCCCAAAAGGCATATTGACTCGTTTCATGACAGTCATTCCGTAGCTTCCCGTCAGTATCTTGTTTCAGATAGTCAAGCTAATCATAAGAATCCAGTTTCTCTTGCAAGTAATACCAACATGATAACTGTAAATTCTTTGCACCATGGTTCTGTGGCC